TTAATCTATAAAAGAGTTTTTAATTTTTCAAAAGTTGACTTTACTGCAAAATTCTAGCAACTTTTAATTAGAATTATTTGTAACATCTTTTAAATAATAAATCTTTTCTAACACATGTACAGTTACTTTTATAACAGTGGCTCTTGTAATTTTATTACTAAATGTTTTCTTTAAAAAAAAAAAGACAAGTAGTGAAAAATCCAAATAAATATCTAAAATTACATTTGGTATTAATATTTGTAATGAAAATTTCACTTACTGAGAAAAAATAGAAGTTGTCTGTCTTTAGTTGTTAGGTAAATCTTAATAATGAATTGAAATTTATAATTTTTTAAAGTTTTCAATTTTTGCAGATTAGAAGAAGTGTTAATAAATATGATTTTTAAGTCAATTGGTATAGATACATAAAGTAACTTGCATACAGGAGTATAGAAAAGTTAGAAATTTCTCAAAGACAGTATATTATGTTAAGGAAAAGTAACAAAACTGCATTTTGTTTTTCCAAAAAAAAAATTTTTTTTCTTTCAATTTTCTATTTATTTTTATAGTTATTTTCATATAATCTTGTCATGCTGTTTAAAAGCTATATTCTTGTTTTTGTTAAAAGTTTTCTTTCTTTTTATTTTCACTTAAGGTCCATCTAATTTATTTTAGTTTTATACTGGAGGAAAACCTCATTCTTTTAATATATATATAAAGAGTTTTTAATTTTTCAAAAGCTGACTTTACTGTTTGTGTTTTTACTGGTGAGAAACCTTTCTGTTGTAGTATAATGGAATAAGAGTTTTTCTCAGAAATATCATCTGACTATATACAGTATTGTTGAGACTATTGACGCACCATATTTTTGATGTAGGTGATAAAATAGTTTTTTAAATAATAGGGATCTAAATGTTTACACTCATGTTCATATTGGTTTTAATTTACCTTGATTACTGGATTATATTACTTTATTTACAACCAGTTATGTTTGACTAAAATATAAATTGTTATTTATTTTCTTAGCATTAGAATCCTGAATTTAAGTTAATGTTTTTTTCAATGAAAACAGAAAAGACTTCTAGCAAATTTTAATTAAAATTATTTGTAACATCTTTTATTTGATAAATCTTTTCTAACACATGTTGTACAATTACTTTTATAAAAGTAGCTCTTGTAATTTTATTACTTAATGTTTTCTTTTATTTTAAAAGGAGACAAATGTTGAAAAACCCAAATAAATATCTAATATTACTTTTGGTATTAATATTTGTAATGAAAATTTCCCTTATTGAGAAAAAGTGGAAGTTATATTAGGTAAATAAGATTCAGAAGTTGATAATCGGAAGTGGAAAATCAATTGAAATTTATAATTTTTTAAAGTTTTCAACTTTTGCAGATTAGAAGAAAGTAATTAATAAATATGATTTGTAAGTGTTTAGATACATAAAGTAACTTGTATACAGGAGTATAGAACAGTTAGAAATTTCTAAAAGACTATATTATGTTATGGAAAAGTAACAAAACTGCATTTTGTTTTTCCAAAAGAAAAAGTTTTTTTTCTTTAAATTTTATATTTACTTTTATAGTTATTTTCAATTTATTATCTAAAAAATAAAGTGGTCTAAGGTCTGTTTATTATTTGTAAAAACCAAAAGAACTGGTAGCAGCTTTGAGGAATCAACTATAATGTGGAAGTATATATTCATTAAATTCAGTTGGAGCTTTTTTGTTCTATTTATAATAGTATTCATTTGAAAATAAAGTGCTTTGAATCATGTTAAAGGATAATTTAGAGTTTTTTTTTCTTCCATAAAATTACTTCTCTTAAAGTTTATTTATACTGAAAGAGGGACAGTTTAACTTAATGTGCAAAAACAGCTATATGATGTGCACAAGATAAATTAAAACATACTCATGAATATCATTCTTAAGAGTAAGAGTTTGTTAATTGAACAATTTCACATTCAAATAACATATATCTCATATTTACTTTTGGCTAATGTTAAGATTTAATTCAATGTAAGATTTAATCTCATTAAAAGTGTCATACGATAATGCATGCATTTTATTAAAATATTAATTGTGATTAGCTTCATTGCTTTTCTTTTTTTAAATGATTAGTCAAAGACACTACAACTAACAGCACCACATAGATAATTAAATCAATGTTATTTGCAATTTTGTTATTAAAAAATATTTCTTTTTATACATATAAAATGTGCTATAGGAAATGATTATTATGTCTAACAAAATAGTTACATATTTAATAAAGTCTTTCTACCTTAGAAGAAGCATCAGTAATTTTTAAAGTTAAAATATTGAAATTTCCAATTATATGAAATATGTTACATTTCATTTTTAAGACTATGCATTAACCAATATGAAACTAAAATAAATTGAACTCACAAAATAAGGTTTTTTTTAAATTTATTTTATAAATAAATGTTATTTCTTTCTCTTTTACTATCATCATTAAATTTGTTTATGAATATTTTTAAACACCTTAGAACTAAAATTGTATTAATTATGAAAATATATTTCATAGACATAACAAATGTTATTAGATAATTGTATGATTTTGTTTAAATCTTAATTGTTTTTTCTTTTGTTGGATCTCATTGAAAAATTCCGCAATTGCTATTGTTTTCGTAAATATTTTTCTAATTTATATTTTTTTTTTATTATTCAAACAATAATTATATTTCCAAATAAATTTGAAACATTGAGTATAGTAAAGTGCGGCGAGCTCTCTGCTTATCGCTTCTAGCTCTGCGTTTTGAATAGGTAAGGCTTAATTTAGCCCAATGGTTCCCAACCTTTTGTGGACCATCGTCCCCCTCTTGAGGTTGGTTGACACGCATCGCCCCTCCTTTTACTCATAAGAAACAAAAAAGTGGCTTCCATCCAACCTTGTTTTATTACAGTTATAACTTATTTGTCATTCATATTTCCATTCAAATAATATTCAATACACACACACACACAAAATTAATCTTTATAATTAACAACAAAAATTCTTGCTTTAAATAAAAACACAGATCCGACAATAATGCTAAGAAAAGTGATGAAAATGATACCTGAAATTTTACTTATTTCAAGTAGTGAGGTAGCTGCGATATGCAATGCTAGCCTGTAAAAATGTCGACACCAAGAGCTATTTTATATTAATTCAGCAAGCGCTGCAATACTAATGTCCAGTATCTAGAAATCACTTTGCATGAATAAAAATATTGTAGTAAAAAATATGTATTTCCTAGCGTATTCGTTACATCTTTCCAACTCAAACGCTTCCGCCATTTTCTCACGCTCAAAAGTCGGGCATCCAAGCTCTTGGCGATAGAATTCGTTTGGCAATCACCCATTTCATCTGATCGCCAAAGTTTAGGGTTATGAAAGGGCTGGCATTCAAGACAGTGCGTGTGGGGCTAGTTCTTATTTTCCCGGTTTGAAGTATTCACTTAACTGCAACTGTGTAAGTTAACTCTACCGCTTCAAGAAAACTGAATTTAAAGGCTCTTACGGATGTCTTAAAGTATTCTTTATGATATATAAATATGTAGAAAATTCTATTTTGCATACAAATATGTTCTAGTTTAAGGAGTGTTGACACAGAATATGATAAACGCACTTTCAATCATCGTCGAGAGAAAAGGATCTTCAATTTAGGCTCTCTCTCTCTCATTCACAATCAGAAGTGTGTTAAATGTAAACTGTGATAATGGTCCTTAAAGACACAAAAATAGTGCATGCTAGAAACTCATGTGTGTGAATTCTGAATTGCAAACGAGAATTCATTAGTGAAATACTTAACTCGCAAAAAATCTCCCAATCATTTTCTCAATGTCATCTTTGGAATTGCATTTGTGGTTTTCTACAATGCAATATAAATGCTCTCTTAAGAAAAGGATAAGCTGATGTTCTGTTGTAGCTTCCTCTACTTTTTAAAAACTGTCCTAAGATTCTGGACATCTGGTGTGTTGAAGTAGGCAACCGATAACATAACCAACTCTCACCGCAAATCTTATTTGTTGATAAATTCTTTGCTGAGGTAAACTATATTAAAACTTACCATCTTACTTATACCGAAGACGACTTTAATTTACCCTATTTGTGGGAAGAAAAGTTTTAAAAAATTGTTTTTGATTTATCCCTACTTGGTTTAAATTTATTAGCCAGTGTTTCCATATTCTTACAAATATAAAGTGAATTACCATTGTAGTAATGGAAAAAATATAGAAAGAGCTTTAAAAGGGTTAATATCATGCAGATCTGATTTATATATTATGTTCTTTATATTGGAAAAAAATTGATGTGAATGATAAAATATCTTGCTGACAGTAAATAAAATTCATATTAAGCTTGTATAAATCTTTTTTTTTTTAAAAGATTGTGTTTTCTGTATGAGTTATATAATCAATAAACTAGTAATTAGGTGTGTGTAATTTCTTTCTGCCAGAAGGATTCATTATTATTAAAGGCAATCTCATTCTATTTTGTGATACTAACAGCAAATACTATCTGTGTAATGTGTGTCACAGTTGCAATGATGTTTTGACAGAAAAATATTTACACATATGGAAATTTAATGTAGTTTGTGTTGTAAATTCAATGTAGAATGTTTATAGTTTGTGTGTTTTAAAGTTTCCAGGTGTAGTTATTAATTATACTTTTTTATTGTAAAACATTTTACTTCTGTTCTAAAAAGTGTACATAAGGAAGTAGTTTCATTCAATTGTTTTGAGTTAATAATATGGAAATAATTTTGTTTAAGTAGCACTTAAAACGAGCTTTTCATGCAGTGCATTATTAAACAGTTATAAATAGATTCAAATTGCAGATTACTTATTGCAGATGCTGATAATTAAGCTGTCTGACACTTTCATAAAACACATATGATTTGATATTTATATAAAAGAAATTTAAATTGTGATTTACCTGTTCACACTGAGAAAATATTTTCTGTTTTCAGTTCAAAACACAATCGTGTTCATACTGGTGAGAAGCCTTATTCTTGTAGTATGTGTAATAATAGTTTTTCTCAAAGTGTGCATCTGAATAAACACTGTCTTGTTCATGCTCGGGAGAAACCTTATTCTTGTAGTATATGTAATAAAAGTTTTTCACTAAAATCTAGTCTGAAAAGACACAGTCGTGTTCATACTGGTGAGAAGCCTCATTCTTGTAGTATCTGTAGTAAAACATTTTCACAAAAAAATCATCTCACTACACACAGACTTGTTCATACTGGTGAGAAGCCTTATTCTTGTAGTATATGTAATATAAGTTTTTCACTAAAATCTAGTCTGAAAAGACACAGTCGTGTTCATACTGGTGAGAAGCCTCATTCTTGTAGTATATGTAGTAAAACATTTTCACGAAAAAATGATCTCACTACACACAGACTTGTTCATACT